AATCAATATAAAATATTATTTCTTGCATTTTCATCGGTCCTTTCTGTGAAAGTTATCCTAATTTTAAAGCTCAGAGTCATGATATTATATCCAGAAGAAGAACCACTTTTTTACGATTTTATTCAATATGCCCGTCATATTGCATTTCAATAAGCTGTTCCCTAATCGGTTGAAGGCTCCGTTAAATTTTAATGTTAGTGTAAATCCACCATAACTGTACTTATTTCTACCATATCTCTGAGATCTGTGGATATATATACAATACAGTACAGTTCACGATACTGTTACTGTCTTGGCAGACGTCAAATAATTGTGCGTCAAAAAGATTCTTTCTTAATAACCGTAGGTTTGTCAATAGTTTCAATGTGTGTACTACTCGTATATTAGATGCACTAGCTACTTCAGGGGTAAGTTCACCATCTGGAGTGAGGTTTTCAGCATTAAGAATCGAATTTTAAGTTCCTACAATCTACGATGCTTCACGTATCCTCTTTGATAAGAGGATTAGGTAAAAGCTCTTACAGTTATTTTCTCTCCGAGTCTACGTGCACATATTTCTAAGCAATAACCAATATCTGGGGGTTGAGCGAAAACAATTTTTCGCACACTTATTCCAAATGGCTGCTCGTATACTTTCAGTATGGCCGGACGTATCGGAAATGACCCCACAATATGTGCGGCAACATAAAAATTACATGAAACTTAATATTATACGATCGCCAATAAAATATCTAACGTGATCTTTATTATAACCCCGTAAAATTGCCGTACATTTGCGGACACAATGGCAATGTGGCCAATCTGAACGTAAGGAGGATTTTTACAGCTCAATGTCACCCTAGCTCTCCATTAGGCGAGCTTATGTGTAAATGAAATATAGCGATATGTTATACTTTCCCGGTCATATTGTGTTTAGTTTATTCGTTTATGTGGTGCTCAAATTTTGTTCTTACTTTCTTCAGGGACGACCCATACATATACTCGTATTACATATTATTGTGGTGGGAAATATGAACAACTTATTGCAGTTCAATTTCTGAAAAAACAGTATTTTTGGTTCAATACATAGTAGTTATTATGAGGGTATCTGCAAACCAACGGAATCTCCTTATAATCCTTGCTACCTTTCAAAATGGTGGACTGGCGGGCCGCTAAAGTTGAGCATGCTAAATTTGTTCACTGAACTCAGTAACTTATCATCAAGATGTTACACGGATCTCCTACTTTTCAAACGGCCTGTTAGAATTTACAATAGAATACGGAACACTTAGTTTAAAAATGTGAACAGACCTGGACGTTTTTATTAAATGGAATGATTCATATTTCTTACATACTCGGATGGAGCCTCCCAAGACAAGAAAATTGATAGCACACACATGTTTTGATGATTAGGTGTTGAGTGCCGAGGTATGATGAGACTTTTTTCATTTTTTTTCTTCAAATATAATTACAATTTCATATTGTCACCCTCAAAATAACTTCACTCTGAAGCGATGGAAATGGTTCTTCCACTGCTCATAGCAGTGCTGTAGCTCGGATACTGGATAGCCTTCAGCTGGTCGGTAACAGTAGTTTGAATATTTTCGGCTGTCGGAAAATGCGATCCTTGGAAGTTATTTTTCGAGAAAGAAGTCACAGGAACTCAAGTAAGGCAAATAAAGAGGCGGAGGAGCCACAGAGACGTCTTCACTAGCCAAAAACACGCTTATTGGCATTGCTGTGTGACAAGGTGCATTATCGTGATGCTACACCCAGCTGTTCTTGATTTGATGAACCGTGATGTGAGTCAAACTTAACTCTTCCCTGATCGTTCTGACTGACAACCGGCGATCTAACCTCATAAGATTCCGGATTCTGTCGATATTTTAATCGGTTCTTGAAGATGAAGACCTTCCGCTTCGTGGATCATCTTCAATCGACTCTCTCCCTACTGGAAATGTCTTAAATTACCGAAAGACATAGGCTCTTGGCAAAACACCCTCCGTAGGCCTGCTGAAGATTGGCAAGAGCAAAAAGCCTCAAGCTTGACAGATGGCCAGTACGTCGTTTTTCAAAGTAGAAAGAAGAAAGCGCTTTATGGTTATAAAGTACTCAGACAAGACTTTGGTGTTATTAGATTACTCCCATTCTATTTGAATAAAAATGTGCTAATATGGCACAACGGCGCCATCCTGAAATTTTCAAAAACCATTTCTACAAAACAAGGACAAATATGGGCTTTAAATTTGGCCTTTCCGCTTTTATTAGGTACCGTAGCATAGTCTGTGAGAATTTATCACAACTAAGCCATCTATGAGACACTAACGTTATGAAATTAGATTTATAATCAGTGCAGAGAGGAGAAGCATAGCTGTGACAAGTTTTCATAGATGATACAACGTAATCTCATTCGAACTCTGAAAATGTATGTATGTAAGTAGGAATAATCCAAGAATCGACTATTCTATGATTTCGCTTGAAAACAACATTAAGTGGCAGATGAACAGGTCGTCAGCCTTTCTTTCATCTCATTACGACTGTTTGGCAGAATATTGCTTAAAAAAAGTTTATTGCACCTCATTTCCGCCAGTTTGCGATGTATTTCTAATTTTTAAGTCAAGTGTGGAAATTACATCTTTTAACTTATTTTTTAAAACTGCAAAAGATACCATAGTTTTGAACACATAGACTTATACCTAAACGTTTTCCAGGATTCACGAGATATCTTTCATTTCAAACGATTTATCTTTCACCCATTTATCCTCAAGTTGTGAAACGCGTGTCAATAGATGTCAAACTCCAGTTACTAAAACATCATCATGTGGGTTTTCTCTCAATCTAGCATTAAGTTGAAGAATTTGTCTCCGTAGTTAATGGATATCACTATGCAACATAACGAAATGCATATAGGTTCTTTATCAGTCTACCTTATCTTTTTTTGGCGCAGCCCACTGAGCCAACTGCTTCTCCTGAAGTTGACAGATTAATTCAGTAATATGCAACTCCATTCAAGGAAATTACCTTCTTCCTGTATCACCGCAAACCGGAGCTTCTTCCAATTATGGCCTTCCTGCGCCAGACAGAATTTCAGATGCTTCGTCACAACTGGCGCACTCTGGAGTTCTACTGCTAATTAGGTATGGTAGATTGAATTTAAATACAATGGGAGAGTCGGCTTTGTTTTGATGCGAAAGTGGATTTATCGACAGGTGAACGGTTATAAATGGATAAAAATAGGCGTAGGTTATTCCATGGTTCGAGGCCGTATTCTGTAATAACAGTAATTTATTTGCCAAAAAGTCTATTATAATTTGTTGCCAGTACAGGAGCAACAATGATGAATAAAAGCACCGCCATGAAAGAAAAAAGTTTGCTTGTGAGGCAACAGCTCACTTTTTGTCACCTTTGCCTCATAGTGATGCATTAGAACCTTCTGATATACATTAGTCTCATTGAAACTAAACCTATATACGTGTGGTTCGTTACGAAATTGATGAGATCTGCAACTAACTGGCGTACTGCTTGTAGATTGAAGGAGCCATACGTTTCTTCTAGAGGAACGTAATTCAAGTTGTCAGTGATATTTGCTCGACATGCAGCCTTAAGCCTCTTTCTCGCTGGTACACAATGATCCATTTATGCCAAAATATGGCTAAATTAGAAAAACAAAGTGATGGTTCAAGCTCGAATGACACTTGTTACACCAGAGTTTCCATGGACACTTTATATGTCACATGCAAGGTCGATTCAAAGAACGTTTTCTGTACTACTTAAAATTAGTAGTTGAATGTAGTGTATGTTTCGCAACATGACCGTTGAATTATCTAAAAGACAGATTAGTGAATATTGTTTGGCATAAGCATGTAAATCTTAACATGAATCACCGGAGAGGTAGAGACTCGGGAACGCGTAAGTAAATTTGTTTTTGCTCAAAATATATGAGTTCCTAGCAAATAGTTCAAGACCTAGCGACACTTGACCCTACGTAATTGGGATTATTCCACTAATCTGTCTTTTAGAGACAGCAGCAGTTGTGTTGAAAAGCATACACTTTTTCCAATGGTATAGAAAACGACAATTTCTGATAAATAGATGTATATTACCATTTACCGGATGCTTTTTAGCTGGAATGTTGTACAAAATTATATCACAATTACGCTAATTTTACAATTATTGAGTAATCACTTAACTGAATTACACGATATGCGCGTCCGACATTGGTGTATTCCTCCCATTACCACCCTCATTTCGATACTATTTTTAATCAAATCCGCGATAAAAAATCTATTTTATCATTTTAGACTACCAACTCTTGATGTTTGTTGTGAAACATCCGCTACTACAGTCTTCCACAAAATTCAGGATGGTCTGTATCTCAGTTGTGTTGTGTGTAGAAAATCTTTGAACATTAGAATATAGATCTGTCATTATTTTTTTTTTTGAAAGGGTAAAGCTTTTATAGCCACTCTCAGGCAGAAGAACTCGACAGTATTGCCCGGCCTGCCCTTTCTGCCCATGGTTTGAGATACTCCAGAGATGGCATACTCACTAAAGCCCCTCAATCGTTCGCCACCACGGTAATGCTTGCTGCATTTCTTCGTAGTGGGTAGCGTTGCGTCAGGTTTTCATACCGTGGATATTAGTCATCTACGTATTCTCTATCGTACAGATACATACCTTTATACCTATGTACAAGTACAACCGAGCAAAATAGAAACGTACTATTGGTTCCTTAGTCTATTTTTTTCTCCCGTACCTTACTCATATCAACCCATTTTCGCTCGCGTATATGCGTGGCAAAATTGTCAACAGTGAGCCTCTCGCCGAGCGTTGGTTCCAGCTGACTTTTACAGCTCAATGTCACCCTAGCTCTCCATTAGGCCAGCAAATCAATTGGTGGGATACCGGCTACCACCAACTGTGCATCGGTCGACACCGTTCTGTAGGCGCATACCACACCTAGATACCTAATTGCATTTTGGCTTCGAATCTCTGAATGGTCAACCTTAACAGCTAATGAATTAGCTTCTGTCTGAAAAAAGTATAACTTCTTTTGTCTTCTTCTTCGAGGAAAATTTCACACGCAGAACGGAACATTTTTCCACGATACCCACGAAGGGGCATGGGAGCTAATTTCAAACCATTCTCTTCCATCCATATGGTAATCCTTATTATTCCGTATGCCAAGGGTGCTTCAAGTGTGTCTCTGTCCTTGCTAGTCACTATCAGCGTTGTCAGCATTCCCTATCAAGCCGAATCACGGCAGCATCTGTAACCGAAGAACCCCATCGTAGAATATGTTCCAAAGCAAGGGCCCTAAAACGGAGCCCTGCTGAACTCCCATTGTTACCTTCATCGTCTTTTGCGCTACTATAAGTGCTCTCTCGTCTAGGTAGCTCTTCATTATGTTTAATAGACAGCTAGGGATGTCTAGTTTCTTGAGAGATTCGACGATTTTCTGCCATTGTTCCATGTTAAGGAAATTCTTAACGTCAAAAGCAACATATCTGTCATTATTGTTGTTCTCATTTGTAACGAGGATTGTATTAACTACTGTTCTTCCTTCAATCTTTTGTGTTACCAGGAAACATACTTTATAACTTTCAACTGTCGGAGGTCGGTTAAATTAAGGTAAACATGTGGATTTCAATGCTTTCTGTTTTGAAATCAAACAAACTTAAAGCAGTTCTGGTATTATTCGTTTTATAAATTTATTAATAAATGCTTTTGTATCCCTACAAACATTTATTTGTTTTATAATTTTTATATTTTGCTTTTCTTTGCTTTGTTCAGTAGGCTAAAGTGTCGTAAGAAATTGTTTTGCAGACGTTTATGAAACAGTATTGAAATTTGTTGTAAGGCTGTTTGGTACTTTTGCTCTAAGAACGTTATTTAATTGAAATAAAATTGCATCCTAAGAGCGGGAACAAAGCAATTATAAAATAAAATAGCAAGGACAGTTGAAACTTTTTGATATATTCTTGCTAGTTGGGTATTAATTGGAGAGGTGTATAATAAGGCTCCCCCCGAATTTGGATTAATGAGGTTTGTGAACTCTGACGAATTAATTCTTGTTAACTTTCACATACCAACTATAACCTCATACATGGCTAAATTGCGGCATATGGTCGGGATTGATTATACAAGCAATTTTTTAATTTCTCCTTGTGACCTTAAAATAACCTTCTAACATCTTCATACAGATAAACTGATCTCTGATTTAGACTCAACTACCACAGAAAAATCTACATGGCATACGTCTGGACTTGACTATTAGACTTATTTTGGAATTGTCTTTGAAATGCCCTCATAGTGATTGACCCCTGATTCAGACTCAGCAACTAGAAGAACCCAAATGACATAACGACAAAGGGTATGAAATCAGGGACCGCCGTGCTGAATATAGTTTTTGTCAGTTTCGATGTGCAACAGCCGTTTCATTCTCCCTTTCTGTGTTCATATTAGTATTGCTCTACAAATTCCAGCCGTTACAAAATCTCGGTATTTAAGATTTGTCTTAAATGAGAGCTTCGATTAGTAGTAAGACTTAGTCGTCCGCATTGCTTAGAAACTATCCGGCGAGAACCTCTTTTCCATTCGTATCATATCTCGGGTAAATTTATTCCATGAAGACGCTATCAAAGCAAGTTAATTAACCCACAGAAAGCTGTATCCAAGCTACTTTAAGCGAGAAGTTATATACTTCGTGTGCCGGAAACTTATGATACACCAACATAAACAGAAACATCTGGTGTGTGTCTCTGAGGCAACATACTGCGGAACTCCGGATATATGCGCCGAAATGCGAAGTGAGGAGTGGTCCTTCGCCGTAAGGGATGCTGCTCCTCTCTATCGTATTATATGGCTGTTTGCATTAAACCACAAGAAATATCATCACCAGAAACTCGACAGATTTGTGCTTTAATATGAATGTATGAGCTGCTGTAAAGTCAGCGCTATTGTGCTTTCTGTTTAACCGTAAACACCATGCCACCTCTAACTGTTCAAAAAGAATAAAACCTCTCTAAGCCCAAGAACACCAACTAGAATGGCCGACTATATCGATGTCTTTTCAAAAATGTTATCGTTAGACCATTATGGTAAAGGCTGTAAAGACATTATTAATGTTGCGTTGGAGGGATATAATGAGTCACTAGGCTGTCAAAATTTTGTTGTATTTTACGGTAACGATGAAAAATTATTTGAGAAAAGCCAATTTCAGTAAACTTTTAGGAACCGGTTTTATATGTATATGAGAGGTTCTAGTTCTTGGACACCCAGTAGAAGCTGCATGTATGTTGATTGAACAACATAAATAATTATTCCCTCCGCCGGGTTCTTTATTTAAAATTATATGAAAAACACTAATTTAAGAAAAACCGCAGAATCGGAGCTTAGCTTAGCCCCAGAAAAAACAGACTGTCACAAACACAATATGTTGTCATCGGAATTGTAATCTGCACTTGAAAAAAGCCACTGTAGTGATTGAAACGTCAGTAAATAGTATTTTAATCAGATGTGGTTTCATTTAATGGCCAGATTATCAGGGAGCTTCGGATTTACAGAATACGAATCTTTCATCGCTTCCAGCTTAGTCAGTCATATTACAGATATCTTTGAGCATACCCATTTGAGCAATTTAACGTTTAGATAAACATTTAAACATTTGAATAAGATTTGTCGTATACATTATTTATATAAACCTATATTCATATACAGTTTTAATAAAGACATTTTGTTAAGAACTTTCAGGTTATTAAAATCTTGCGTACCCTCGTGAAGTTGCGCTCTTTGATTGTATAAAAATTTCACTAGCAGAAAATTAGAAATTATCGAGATATCGAAGCTTATACAAAAACATAAAATATCAACTGAATAAAAGCAGCGTTGTCGCATCTACGGCTTGTGGAACGTTAACGGCAACGGATAGTTTACTACGTGTACCAAGTTACGTTTACCTAACTTGAAATTTAAACAGTAATTGAAAGTTCTGTTAGTAACAAACAATGTTGTTAGTTTTCTTGGACATTTGAACTTCTCATTTGAAACAGTCCTTGTTACATAAATAAACTTGGCATACATTCAACTATAATTAAGAAAATGATATAAGAAAATCGAAAATTATAATTGTTTTGCTCTTGTTAATGGCAATGATAAAATAGTCAGAAGTGATGAAATAACCCATATTGACAGGGGGTGATAAGACGGGCTTTAGTAGGTAAGTCAAACAAACGTAAGCAATACCACATGTCCTGAAACTGGAGTGGACCCCGTAATTCGAGAATCCAGTTACAATGTTTTCCAATACTACTCGTATCTGCCGCTTCGCCACCCAACTTCGAAGTCAGCACAAACATTATTCAAACGAACAAAGCCTATTTTATCGTACGACGCCGATGTTATTGGAAAAACTTTTAAATAAAGCGGATCGCGTCCACCTGACTGAACTCCAGGATTCCGGGCTGAAGTTCCCTGGGGACACAACTCCCGACAAATGTTGTTTTTGCGACTTTCAGCCAACTCCTTGTAGTCTCAAAAAAGCTCCTCGGGGCAAGTAATCCCTCATTAGCCTTATCGTTTGTCTCCTTTTTTCCTTAATAATGAGCAGACGCCATCGGCTTTTTTTCTAAATTAATTGAGCAAGTTGAGTATGCTGCGCGTTTATGTTAGGGGAATCGATTTTGGTAATTTTTGGAACATCAAAGCCATTATATCCGTCGGGGCTTACATGTTTATTATTTCTGTAATTTTCATGTCCTGAAACATCTAAACATGAGGAACATTCGTAATCACGAAATAATGATTAACGTAATAATAATAATAATAATAATAATAATAATAATAATAATAATAATAATAATAATAATAATAATAATAATAATAATAATAAGTGCTGTCATTTAGCTTTGGCGTTATTAAATGGAGCGATGCAAACCTAGCAGAAATCGATCGCGAAACTAGAAAATTGCTCTCCAAATTTCGTATGCTACATCCAAAATCTGCCACGGAAAGGGTATACATACCTAGAGCCCTTGGGAGAAGAGGACTGATTAATGTTGAGCGCCTTTGCAAAGAGCAAGTGTCCAAGCTTCGCCGATATTTTTGCAACATCAATTGCCAAAACATTAGGAGCATTACAGCTATGGACAGCAACATCACCCCCATGAATTTGGGCAGAAATCATGAATTCTCAGATCGATCAATACCGACGTCGACTGACATGCTCAACAGATGGAAAGAGATAGCCCTTCACGGGAGATATCCTGTAACACTTGAAAGAGATGGAATTGATAAAAAATCCTCACTATCAATTTTTGTGAAAGGCTACCTACATCCGGAATCGGAGGGTTTTCTATGTGCTATTCAGGATAAGGTTATTCGAACCAGAAACTATAAACGCCATATACTAGGCCTGAATACACACGACGTATGTAGAAAATGCCATACGCCAGGTGAAGCAATAGAACACATCACCTCCAGCTGCAACATGTTGGCCAATAGTGCTTACTTATCCCGACATAATCAAGTAACCAAAATAATACACCCCACGTTAGCTCAATAATCTCATTCAGTCAACCGCGCCATATTACAAATATACACCATTCCCAGTACTCGAGAATCAGTCGGCCCTATTGTACTGGGACAGGCCAGTCATAACCGATAAAACAGTTGACTATAACCGGCCAGACATACTACGGATCGATAAAAATAAACGGAAAGCATACATAATTGATATCGCAGTTCCACTCACAGTAAACATAATCAGAACCGAATACACCAATGCTGAAAAGTACCAAAACCTTGGCATTGAAATCAAAAACATTTGGAAACTATGAGAGGTCTGCATAATACCAGTGTGTCTGTGGAAGGAGCAATCTCTGTAAATCTCCACTCTCACTTAGAGAAAATCGAAGTTCCAGCGCATTTTATTGCATTGATGCAGAAAGCCGCAATCTTGCAAACATGTCACATAGTTCGCAAGTTCTTCGCAATAGGCTGAGGTGAATTCCTCCCCTGTTGTGTACATACCCC